TCACAAAGAGCAAGTAGGTCTGGTGAACTTTGCAAGAGATAAGACTCAACAGAAGAAAAGTTACTTCGAAGACCACGAATATTAGTAAATGATAAGTTTAGAGAACTTGGTGATGACAATGGTTTTTTGTGTTTTTTAGTTTTAGGTACTTTAGTCATTTTAAATTTATAAAGAACTTGACTCAAGTATAGATAGTACTCAGTACACTATTTAACAACTAAGCAATAGCCTCATTACTATTAATAAACCCTAAGCCGTAACAAAGGGCTCCAAATGTGGCCTCTGCAATGCACACCAAAAGTACAAACAGGGACACCATCTATGCCCAACATGGCACTGTTAGTACTCTGATATTTTTCGGCTGTTGATGGAATCAGCCTCTCTGAGAGCTACCACAGAGTTCGGGAAACCTGACTACCAGCCGGCCTCAGAACCATAAAACTGAGTTTTAGAGCTGTACCCTCATTAGGAGATAATAGAATGAGTTGCCCAGTCATAAAAATAGAGACACAAGCAATACTCACGCATTGAGTCAAGAAGATCCAGCGTTCAACATCCTAAACTGGAAACAATGTATCAAAAATACATCTGCACCAGCCTAATAGATGAGGAAGGGGTGCGAGGCAGGTCAACAGATAGAATCTGTTTACCCCTTAAGTCTTTGCCTAGGAGGCCTTCTACAAGACAGCAGCTGGATGCATGTAACTTCTGCCCAAGATGAGTATTTTTATCGAGACACCATCTCTAGCCTTTACTCAACCAAGAGCCCCAAGGCAGGGGGTGTTTTAATTCAGAGTTAACTTCTCCTAGCCTTTGCCTAAAAAAGCGTATCCTACAAGGCAGCAGGACATGGAGCAGGTTGTACTGGGTTACATGTTACCAGTAGCAGGAAAACCTGACCTGACTCTTAAATTTAAATAAATCACCTGACTTTAAAAGTTACTTTACTAATTCAATAATAACATAATGTTCATCCTTTACTACAGAAGTTATCAAATAAAAATTGTTGATCTTATCACTAATTAAGCTGATGAAACAAAGTTTTTGATCTCATTACTGATTAAGCAGATACTGATAGATTATTAAGATTTGAAAGAGCCTCATTACGCGAGTTCAGAAGTAAAGCAATTTATAATAAAACTCAAACTTTTTTGACCATTACACAGTTTTACATTTGCATAGTGAAGTTTGCTTCAAGAAGCTGAAACTCCTTTACAGAATTTTTATACATACATTTTTCTTCATAAAAACAGATTTTGTGTTAACTATCCATGAAGGAATTGAAGAACCTTGTGATTATCTTTGCTAAAAGTTCAAAATATGTTTGCGTGAAATACAATTAGACAAGGTTCATAATAAAGTTGAATGAAGTGGATTTAGTAAAAAAGTATGATTATGGCAGATTATGATGGTTATGGTAGATTTTAAGAGTTAAGAGTAAGTAATATTGACTTGCTATTGAAAAAAATTCTGTTCCTATTGTTATATTTAGTCTATTATATTGCTCCCTTTATCTTGTTTTTCTGTTTCATACAATTTGCAATCTTTTAAGTTGTCTGTTAATTATTATCTTGCTTTGTAAACTTCATCTTTTCATTTCCAGTAACTTTCAATGCTGATAGTGGTTTGCTTGCAGCCTTGTTGGAAGTGAAGATTTTTTTAAAAAAATTTTTTTTGAAAAACTTTTTTGAAAAATGTTTTTTTTGTATTTTAGAAAATCAGGAAAGATTAAAAAAATCTAAATGTTCAAGCAAAAGGATTTGAACCCCTGAGATACACTTCAGAAGCGCAGCAAGCTAACCACTTCAGCCGCTTAGGCATATTATACTTATATTTTTTAACTCTATTTATTAAGCAAAAGACAGTATAAAACGGCAAATAAATGCTATATATCAAAGTTAAGGAAACTTTAAAAAATAACTTAAATAGTTTAAAGCAAAAAAAATATAGACTATAGACTATATTGTCAACTATAGGTTATATTGCTGCAGTGGAATTTTAAAGTAGAATTAAAAATGTAAAACTTGATATTTTTAACAATATGAAGTTAAATATTTGCATACAATTTCATTAAAATTTTCCTTTAAAAAAAAGTTCTATGACTCTTTTTTGCCATAAACTTGAATGTAATGGCTGCCATTAGTTCTGTACAAACACGCATAAGTAAGTTTTTTGGTAACAAGTTTTTTAATAACAAAAATTGAGGAAGTTTTTTGATAAAAAAAATTTTTAAAGAAAATAAAAAAAAAAAAAAAAAAAAAAAAAGAAACAAAGTTTTAAAAAAAAGAAAGGTAAAAAGAAAAAAGACAGAGTTTGCAAATAAGGGAAAGAAAAATATCAAACAGCATCATCTAAAACTAATTTAAAATACAAAGAACTTACAACTTAAAAAACAAAATTATTTTTTATATAAAATTTTAAATAAAAGCAAACAGCAAAAAAAAGTTTAATATTTTTTACAAAGTTTTATGTTTTTTGTATTCTTACTGAATCAGATCTATTGGAATAAATTTAATTTATAACAATTTTGTAATCATTTTTGTTTTGTTTTATTTAATTATTTATTTTTTTTATTATTGATTATTAGTTTTTTTTGTTGTTATTATTGTTCGTGAATTTATATTTGTCCTGTTTTGTTTTGTTTTATTTAATTATTTATTTATTTTTTTTATTACTGATTATTAGTTTTTTTGTTGTTATTATTGTTTGTGAATTTATATTTGTCCTTAATTAAGTTTTGACTCTTGTCTTTAATTATCTTTTTAAATAGTCTTTTTCTATTGTCTCTAAATACTGTTATTGTTGTTATTGTTATTGTTGTTGTTGTTGTTGTTGTTGTTGTTGTTGTTGTTGTTGTTGTTGTTGTTGTTGTTGTTGTTGTTGTTGTTGTTGTTGTTATTGTTGTTGTTGTTGTTGTTGTTGTTATTATTATCTTTAATACATTAATTAGCTTGATATCGGAGTGTTAATAAAACCTTTTTTTTTTAATTTTCTTTTTTTCTTTTTTCTATACTTTTTATTATATGCATTCTTAGTGTTGTATATGTTTCTTCTTCTTAAAATCTCACTAATCTTTTTACTGTTTTTAATATTATTGTTTTAATATTATTCTTAAAATTATTATTACTATTATTATTTTTATTGTTTTATTATAATTTTTATCATCACTATTACTATAACTAATTATATATTTATAACAATTATTTTTTAGGGTGTTTGCTTGAGATCAGTATTTCATTACTATTTGTAAATATTTGTGAAAATTTATTTTCAATGTATATGTGATAGGTTGAAATGAGTAATATGTAATAAGATTAAACTTTTAATTGTACTTTCACTATCAATCCAGTCTTCTGCTTTATTTTTTTCATTAACAGTAATTTTATTGCAGATTCAGAAGAGAGAATTAGCTGAGAATGAATGTGTGGAACAGAAGTAAGTATCCCCAGTTTTAGAGAGGATGCTGAGAAAATTGAAGATTGACAAAGTTTTTCAAAATGACCCATCTTATTACATTCATAACAGGTAGCTTAAAAAGCAGGAAATTTAATATGTGGATGTTGTATGTTTCCAGAGAATCAACAGAATAGTTTTGATTTCATTGTAGCAGCTAATTGATTACTGGTATGATTAATGGGGTCGCCTGTAGATGGTTTTTGCAGGAGTGAATTTATTTTTTGAATAGATGGTTGATCTATGATTGAATGATGAAATTATAATTAAAATATTATTTTTTTTTTACTTTAATAGCTACTGTAAAAATTGATCTGAAAAAATGTCTTATAACACAAAAACCACTTATAACCTTTTCATGGTAAAGTGCTGGGAATTTATTCAGGACATCTAAAGTTCTTTTTTTTTTAACCAATTTATTTAACCAAATAATATGAAAATTAACAATAATATTTTATAAACTCACATAAGGTTAGGTGTCACTCATATAGTTAAAATCTAGTCATTAGAGTGACACCTGAAAAAAAAAACAAATACAAAAAAACAAAACAAATAAATTAACTATAAAAAAAAATAGGAAGACTTAAAAATAAAGTAAAAAAGGTAAAAAAAAAAAAAAAAAAAAAAAGATTAAGAAAAAAAAATAAAGCACTATTAAATAAAAATAATATTAATAATTGCAATAATAATATGAGAATAATAAAAGTAATAGTTAATAAAGAGCAGAATAGTTGATTAAAAGTACAAGTATAAATTTTGTTGAATCTAAAGATTGCTTCCAGACTTAAGACTATGATAGCACTAACCATAAGACTTAGGACTATGATAGCACTAACCATAAGACTTAGGACTATGATAGCACTAACCATAAGACTTAGGACTATGATAGCACTAACCATAAGACTTAGGACTATGATAGCACTAACCATAAGATTTAAGACTATGATAGCACTAACCATAAGACTTAGGACTATGATAGCACTAACCATAAGACTTAGGACTATGATAGCACTAACCATAAGACTTAGGACTATGATAGCACTAACCATAAGATTTAAGACTATGATAGCACTAACCATAAGACTTAGGACTATGATAGCACTAACCATAAGACTTAGGACTATGATAGCACTAACCATACTCAAAAATCATTCGTACTGAATCTAAAGATCTTGTCTAATTTTTATCTAAATAAAATTTAGTATATAATTTTGAAAAACAAGTTTAAAGGTAATGACCATTTAAGAAACACCAAGTTACCTATACTTGATTAAAGAGAAAGACAGGTCTTTAAAAACGTCAGAAGAAAATCCTTTAGTTCACTATTAAAGGTCAAGTCATAATTTGCTAATTATGACTTGACATATTAAATAAAAAATTTTTAAATGTTGTTAGGGTTTGATTTACCTTTATAAATTTTTTTTAAACTAAAACTAGAATTTTCTAGGTCTTGATTTTTTTTTTTTTTTTTGTGCCATGTTTTTTTAAAAGACAAGTGTATTTAAAACGAGCTATAATTAAAAAAATAGCATTTTTTGTTTTAATAGGTACTGCAAATATTAACCTAAAACAAAATCTTTTAAACACAACTGATTCATCTCCTTCAGGTTAGATTAACAATCTAATATTTAGCTGCTGACTTCTAGTATATATTATATTTTTAGGTAAAATAAATTTATGTGTCATGTTATTTTAAAAGACAAATGTATTAAAAACAAACTATAATTTAAATATTGGCAATTTTTCTTTTATTAGGTGCTGTAAAGAGTGATTTGAATCAATCTTGTTTAAACACAGCTGATTCATCTCCATCAGGTTAGATTAATAATCTACTATTTCAGTTTCTATCTTGTAGTAGTTATTATTTTGAGGTGAAGTAATTTTAATAAGGTGTCTTTTTAAAAGTCAAGTGTATTTAAAACAAACTTAAATTAAAATAATGGTACTTTTTATATTAATAGGTGCTGTAAATATTGATCTGAAACAATCTCTTTTAAACAAAACTTATTCATCTGCTTCAGGTTAGATTATATATCTACTATTTCAGTTTCTATCTTCTAGTAAATATTATATTTTTAGGTGAAGTAATATTTGTGCCTTGTTATTTTATAACACAAGTGTATTTAAAACAAACTATAGTTAAAATATTGGTATTTTTATTTTAATAGGTGTTGTAAATATTATTCTAAAACAATCTCTTTTAAACACTACTGATTCATTTCCTTCAGGTAAGTTTAATAATCCACTATTTGAGTTTCTATCTAATTATTCTAACAATTGTTATGGTTTAGGTGAAGTAATTTTTGTGCCATTTTTTTATAAAGACAAGTGTATTTAAAACAAACTATAATTTAAATTTTAGTAATTTTAATTTATTAGGTGCTGTAAAGAGTGATCTGAATCAATCTTGTTTAAATACAACTGATTCATCTCCTTCAGGTTAGATTAAAAATATAATATTTTAGTTTCTACCTAATAGTCATTCTTATGTTTTTGTGAATTAATTTTTGTGCCACTTCATTTTAAAAGACAAGAAATTTAAAATAAACTATAATTATAATAATGTTTTTTTTTATTTTGATAGGTGCACTAAAAATTAATCTGAATCATTCTCTTTTAAACACAACTGAATCATCTCCTTTAGATTATTTATTAATAATCTACTATTTAAGTTTCTATCTTCTAGTCATTCTTATGTTTTAAAATAAAGTAATTTTTGTGCCATATTTTTTTAAAAGACAAGTTTATCTAAACAAATTATAACTAAAATAATGGTGATTTTAACTTTGTAGGTGCTGTAAATATTGATCTGAAACAATCTCTTTTAAACACTACTGATTCATCAATTCCAGGTTAGATTAATAATCTACTATTTGAGTTTCTATCTTCTAGTTAGAATAATATTTTTTGATGAAGTATTTTTTGTGCCATGTTATTTTAAAAGACAAGTGTATTTAAAAAAAACTATAATTAAAATGTTGATTTTTGAATTTTATTAGGTAGTGTAAATATTGATCTAAATCAATCTCTTTCAAACAAAACTGGTTTATCTCCTTCAGGTTAGAATAATCTACTATATCAGTAAAAATAATATATTTTAGTGAAGTATTTTTTGTGCCATGTTATTTTAAAAGACAAGTGTATTTAAAACAAACTATAATTAAAATATTGTTTTTTTTAATTTTATTAGGTAGTGTAATTGTTGATCTAAATCAATCTCTTTCAAACACAACTGGTTTATCTCCTTCAGGTTAGAACAATGATTTACTATTTCAGTTTCTATCTTCTAGTAAATATTATATTTTTAGGTGAAGTAATTTTTGTGCCATGTTATTTTAAAAGACAAGTGTATTTAAAACAAACTGTAAATATTGTTTTTTTTTAATTTTACTAAGTGTTGTAAATATTAATCTAAAACAAACTCTTTTAAACTCTACTGATTCATCTTTCACAGGTTAGTTTAACAATCTACTATTTGTGTTTCTATCTTCTCGTAATTGTTATGGTTCAGTTGAAGTATTTGTAATGCCATTTTTTTATAAAGACAAGTGTATTGTATCTATCTTCTAGTTAGAATAATATTTTTTGATGAAGTATTTTTTGTGCCATGTTATTTTAAAAGACAAGTGTATTTAAAACAAACTATAATTAAAATATTGATTTTTTAATTTTATTAGGTAGTGTAAATATTGATCTAAATCAATCTCTTTCAAACAAAACTGGTTTATCTCCTTCAGGTTAGAATATTTTTTAGTAATTATTCTGCTATGTATTTTTTTTTCTGCTATGTATTTTAAAAATTATTTTAAATTTTTTTAAAAATTATTTTAAAAAACAAGTGAATTTATAACAAACTATAATTAAAATGATAATTTATTTTATTTTATTTGGTACTGTAGCTATTGATCTGAAACAATCTCTTTTAAACACCACTGATTCATCTCTGTCAGGTTTGATTAATAATCTACTATTTGAATTTTTATTTTCTAGTCATTCTTATGTTTTTAGGTAAAGTATTTCTTGTGCTACATTGTTTTAAAAGAAGAGTAAATTTAGAACAAACTATCATTAAAATATTGGTGTTTTTTATTTTAATAGGTGCTGTAGATAATGATCTAAAACAATCTCTTTTAAACACAACTGATTTATCTCCTTCAGGTTAGTTTAATAGTTTATATCTCTACTACCTTATCTTCAACTAAGTTTTACGTTTTTAGGTAAAAAAGTTTTTGTGATATGTTTGGTTAAAATACTTTTCATCAGTTTTGCAAATTTTTTCTAAGGCTTGCATTGTCTCAATTGTCTGATTTTTATTTAAAATTTATTATATTTTTAAGGTTATTATAGCATTTGTTGTATATATACATAGTTTTTGTTGTATTTATACATTATAAGTGTGTATATTTTATATAATTTGTTTAACTGAATTAAATAACGACTTTATATCATTCTGAGCATAAAATAATTTTCTATTATCAGCAAACAAAATGGTCGCTAATATATTTTACGATTTGCCTAAATTATTTATATAATTTACAAAAGTAGTATAGATATAAATCTTTGTCAAACTCCATCTATTACCTTCATATTATCAGTTTTTCTGTACTATAAGGACTTTGTAGCTTTATATTTGAAAAATTGTTTTGAAACAATTTTATATACAAATGTTTAGCCTCATAGTTTTTTAAGTTATTTAAAAAGATATTACAGGTTTGAAGCTGCTAGTAAATACTTTATTGTGGTCTTAACTCATATTAAATTTATAAATTTTATTTCAAAACTGTTAATGTCAAACAAGTGTCATTTTTAGCTGAATGGAACAGTAATTAAGATTTAAATCACATTTAAACTAATGGCGAACATGACTGACTAAATGTAAATACTAAATATTTTAGTAATCAATAAAACAACAATGTTTGTAATTAGCAAACATGTTGACTATTTTTCCCTGCCAAAGAAAAACACCGTGATTGCAGAAAAGTAGATTTTAAGATATTTGTTAAAAACTGTTTAATATTAGACTATTACATAAATATGCAATTATGTTTGTTATGACTGTAGGACTTTACTTTACTTTAGGACTTTGTATCCTTTTTTTGTTTTGATTGAATTTTTCAATAATTGACTGAAGAAACTTAATTTTTGTAATTAGGGTGAACTTGATTGGCAGGTATCTTATTGTTTAATATGAAAAGCAAAGAAAACATATCTATTATCATATTAAAAATGAAAACAAATAAAATAAAGTTCATTATTATATATTCTGCTTAAATAGATTTGTGAATAATAAAAATGACATTGGTAACTTCATGGTAACTTTCATAAAACTATTAAGAAGTATTAGTTAAAATCATGTTTAAAAGTTATAAAAAATTTTGCACCTGATTTGTTCAAAATTACAATAAAAATTATAAAACACTTGCAGTTTTAGTATGCACTAGTTCATGATTGCTATCAGCAAAATAATAAAATTAAGTATGTATGAACAAAATCAATGAAAAAGGTCTTCTAGAAGCATTACAGTGTAAAAACCTTGTAGGGTAAAGTCACATATTTTGTAAGTCTGATTTTCGTTTTCTGCAATAAGCGAAATGGATATTTTTTTCACATTGTAAATGTTTATTTCTTTTGAAATAAAAAATAATGAAAAAAGAATTGACGTGTAAATTATTAAAAAAGCAATATCTGTAGCTTTTATTGTTTATTTTTTCAGTACAACATTGTTGCTAACTAAAAACAGGAATTTTTTAATTCCTACATTGACCTTTTATGAAAATTTTTTTTTAAACATGAAACATCTTTAAAGTGACTTTTTGCAATCTGAGAAACAAAATTATGCCTACCAGGACTAAAATACTTTTTTTAAAGATTTTTAGGCTGGAATTCAGAAACATTATGTAATTGATCATAAAATGTTCTACATCATTAGTGATATACATTAAAAAATAAATGTTTTACACAAGTAAAATTACCAAAATGTTGCTTGGCATTATTTACAAAATATTAAATTAGATCTTTTGCTGAAAACAAATCAGCAAGATACTTGACTCTTTTTACACAGCACTCTGATGGCCAAGGAGAAACTTAAAAAAAGGAGATAAAAATTTTTATAACATTCTTCCATGAGAATTCCTTTACATACAACTATCTCAGTGTAGAGAAGAAAATATCTTAGCTTACTTTTCACTGGTCAATAAAAAAATTAGGCGAAATATTTTGCTTTACAGAGGATAGACACCCTTCAATAATTTCTTTAAATTTTCCTTTATAAAAAATACAAAATTTGTTGCACAGCTCCAGGATAAATCAAATGTATGTAATCATATAAAAAGATTTTTATAACATCAAATGTCAGTTCAACCAAGAAGACTTATCTAACTGATTGTGATTACTTTTGTTGTAATAAGTTAATAAACATTAGAGAAACACCCAGTTACTTATTCTTGATTAAATAGATAAACAGGTGTCAAAAAAAACCCAAAAAATTAGGTCCTTTAGTGCAATAAGAATTATTATATTTACTGTTTTTCATTCTCTGTGGTTAAAGCTCATAGCTAGCAGCAAAAGGTTTTAAGCAGGTTAGTTTGTATTTATATCGGTTTTAAAAGATTTTTTTTTTTTTAAAACTTATATAGGGTCAGATACAAATAAAATACAAATAAAATGTTACAATTTAACTTTATAAATTTTTTCAAAAAATAAGCTATAATTTAAATGTTGGTATTTTTTATTTTAATAGAAAATGATCTGAAACAATCTCATTTAAACACAACTGATTCCTCTACTTCAGGTTAGTTCAATAATTTTTAGTCTCTACTTCCTTATCTTCTGCTAAGTTGTAACAAGTTAATAAACATTAGAGGAACACCCAGTTAATTATTCTTGGTTAAATAGATAGACAGGTATCTAAAAAAAGTAAAAAAAATAGGTCCTTTAGTTCACTAAGAAACATTATATTTACTGTTTTTCATTCTTTGTGGTTAACACTCATAGCTAGCAGCAAAAGGTTTCTAAGCAGGTTAACTTTTATCTAATTCTATATCGGTTTTAAAATTAAAAAAAATTTTATTTTAAAATTGGCATAGTGTCAGAATAATATAATACAATACAAATAAAATACAAATAAAAGGTTACAATTTAACTTAATAAATTCTTTCAAAAAATAAACTATAATTTAAATATAATTTAATAATAATTTAAAATAATTTAAATATAAAAAAAATGGTATTTTTTATTTTATTAGGTGTTGTACAAAGTGATCTAAAACAACCTCATTTAAGCCCAACTGGTTCCTCTCCTTTAGGTTAGTTTAATACTTTTAGTCCTACTTGCTTTTCTTCTGCTAAATTTTAAATTTTAAGGTATAGTAGTTTTTGTGCCATGTTTGTTTAAAAGAGTTATCACCACCTATTTTTTCAGGGCTACATTGTGTTAGTTGTCTGCTTTAATTTAAAATATCAGATTTGAAATTATTTTGAAGATTATCATCTCGATGATTTGTGATAAAATTATTTTATGTATTTTTAGTATTTTTTTTATGTATTATAATACTAAAGATAAATCTCTCTCTCTCTCTCTCTCTCTCTCTCTCTCTCTATATATATATATATATATATATATATATATATATATATATATATATATATATATATATATATATATATATATATATATATATATATATATATATATATATATATTATATAGTATATATATATATATATATATATATATATATATATATATGTATATATATATATATCATATATATATATATATATATATATATATATATATATATATATATATATATGTATATATATATATATATAATAACATATATATATATATTATATATATATATAATGTATATATATATATATAATATATATAATATATATTATATATATATATATATATATATATATATATATATATATATATATATATATATATATATAATATATATGTATAAATATATACATAATATATATTTATAGATATTTTACACTAAACTAAAAAGGAAGTTTTGTAGAAAATTTATGGCAATCAAAGTTCTATTTTCAAAATTTTCTAGCTTTTAATTAAGCATCTGCTAAGGTTGCATCTCTTTATCGAGCTCAACACTATCTTACTGCGGATTTCTATTCTCTATCGCTATAAATCTTAAATCCGTTCTTGTATGGAATACTGTTGCCATATAAACGCATTGGGAACATAGTTGGACCTGCTCTTGCAGCCAACCTCTAACCATTATCACATTGTCATAAATCATCGTTGCTTCTCTTTCTCTTTTCTACAAATACTATAATGGACACTGCTCTATAGAGCTACCGTCTCTTGTGCCATCTGCTAAAATTCATTATCGTGTTACTTGTTATTCATCTAAGTTTCATTCTTTTTCTGTGACTGTTCCTAAGTACCCCAAAAAGCTCTTATTTGGCTAGTTTTTTTTACCTTGAACATCAGTTCTTTGGAATTTGCTTCCTTCATCTTGCTTTCCTGATTCATTTAATTTCACGTCTTGCCTATTTAATCTAAAACATCCATTAACTAAAATAACTGAACATTCATAAAACATAAACGTCTTTCACAAACTCAATCATCAAATCAAATCCTGAACGAATCAAAAAAGGTAAAATATCACTTAGTAAAACTTTAGAGACATAAAACATACTGAAGACAACTCTTTACAATTACAAAGTACAATAAAGTACAAAGATAGTTAAACTACAACAGCTATGCTAAGTACAACAATTAAAGTTGTTTATGTTTAAGTACTTTTAAGTTACTTTTTGTTTATTACATGCTACTTCAACAGCTGTGGCCAACTCAGTGGCACTTTAAGATTTTGCTAAGACTTCAACCTAACGTTTTTTGATTTTAAAGGATGAGTCTTCAAAACTTTTTTTTACTAACATTGTTGATTATATCCCTAATAAAAATTCTATATCTGTTCTCTTTAATTTTTGTTTTCATCATAAATGCTGCAGACTATTTAGTTTATTTAGACATGAAATTATTTTATTAAATGTGGCCTTTGCTTTTTCTGGTTTTTATGATTAATCTTAATTTATTATTAAAATAAAGACTTCTTACCATTTTGACTTCAACTTGTTTGTAATTAACAAATCGTTATAAAATCATACAAGCACGTTAATCACTATTTATCACATCTAGTTTCATGTCTAACAAACTTTAACTGAATACTAGTAAAACTGAAATTTTTACATTAAATCAAGACAATCTAAAATCAGTTCGGTTATGTGCTTAAAGTATCTTGAAATAAAAATTGATTCCAATTAATACTTTTTAAATCATCTTAAATTCCAAGCAAGAAAACTATGTAGATCAAATGGAATGCTAAAATTTGTATATATATATATTTATACAAAATATATATATGTATATATGTATATATATATATATATATATATACAAAATATATATATGTATATATGTATATATATATATATACATATATATATATACATATATATATATACATATATATATATATATATATATATATATAGTTATATATATATATATATATATATATATATATATATATATATATATATATATATATATATATAAAATACCCGCTGAAAATTACAAAATACTGTTTTAGCGAGGAGTTATAAGGATTGCAATATTTCACAATTTTCCACTTAATTATGTAAATATTTTTTCTTTTATGTCAAAAACTTCTTTAGACAACTCGAAAAACGATGTTCTTTGTCAAACACTGGTTGCTCATGGGGCAGATGGATTTGTTCACACAGTTGCATGTTTCACTCTCATCTTTACCTTCGCTATATAATATCATGTGATTGTGCAAACTAATGATGGACTTGATGTTTGGCATACACAAGTAGCTTATTTTAATGGCATTTCGATAAAATATCTTGCGAAGTTGAAACCAACTAAAACCAACTAAAAAGTGCAGGTCTACCATGTTCAAAAAATGACTGCCTATTTTTGTTTCAACATTGGTACTGAAAGGTGGTTTGTACCTGATTATGTTTCGCTTGTGATATTTGAATGGGATCTGTTTTTTATTTGAATAGTAAGTAAATTTGCAGAAAAAAACTGGTTTAAATAATGCATCTTGATAAGGAGGAATGGATTGTTTAAAAATATTTCCGTTAGTAGAATTGGTTGACAATCTTAGTTCAATAGTTTGAGGAAGACTTTTTAGTATGCTATGATAGTGGTTAGAGTCAGCATTTATATAACTGATGGAATTACCAGGCTTGCAGTAAGGTTAGAAAGAACTGTCATTAAGATTTAAAGTTAAGTCCAGATAGTTAACAATTTTAAATTTAGCTGATGGATATAAGAAGTTCATTATTTTTAAAAATTTTGACAAAGTGCTATTTAATTTTTTCCATTTGTTGGCCACTCCAGTTTTCAAACATTGCTAGACCATCATCTCTATACAATCCGAATTCTTCTTTTTTGTAAGACTGCGATAATTGAAACAAGATAAATATTTCAACTAAGTCACAAACTTTGTGTAAATAAAAACCGTTATTTTCAAAAACGGTTTTGGCGTTTTTTTTGTATAATGTCTTTTGAATGTTTATTTATTAATAAAAAGTATAGAAAATCAAATTTGTAAGTAATTAAATTTTTATTTTATTATTTAGATTGCTGGAAAGTATAACATGTCTTTTCATTTTCAAAATTATTCAAGTATTACAAAAAAATGTTTGAATATTGAATAAAACACGCAAATATATTCAAATGTAAAGTATTTGAATAATCAAATATAATGGCCTATTCTTCATATCAAAGAGTTTTTATTCCTTAAAAAAACATATGGATATTTTGGTTCAACAAAATATTAACATATAAATATGTATTAAAAGTAATTCACAATGTTTCTTATCTTTTTTATTGATTTTTATTTCTTATGATAAAAATATATTTTAAATTTATCTTGCAGATAAATCATGTCACCAGTATAGAAATTTGCTGCTCGGCGTAAAATTCTAAATTCAAAAGATATTGAAGGTATCTTTTATAGATGCGTTTCTGTTGTAAAATGCTCCTCTGAATCCACAACTACTTTGCAGAATCATATTTTGCGTCATAGAATTACTATAAATAGCCCTTGAAATAGGCTGGAGAATCAAGCAGCAGCTCAAATCCACCACCAGAAAAAAAAAAAAAAAAAAAACCATGGACAGTTATTTACAAAAAACGAATCTTAAAGAAATTGTTGCTGATCTAGCTACAGACAGTTTTGATTAATACAATAACAAAGAACAAATTTATTTGCTTATTGATTCAAAAAAGAAATTATTGTCCTAAAAGTCCAACAACTGTGATGAATTTTATCCATCAAGATTTTTCTGATAAAAAGGAAGTGATGAAGCAAGAAATTATCAAAAAAATTAAAATGGGACATAAATTCAGCTTATTGCATGATGAATACAATACATCTTTGAGGCACACTCATCAAAGGATAAAAATAAGTTATATTGAATATTAGGAATTTGTATAGATTAATACTTTGAAACCAATCTATAACATAATGTGAGTTTTAACCATTGATTTATGCAAGCATTTTTTCTAAGATCAATATTTAATTTTGATAGAATAATTTTAGAAATTCTTACTACTTCGTTTTTTGAAGGATTTATTGCAAATTATGATTTTTCAGAGTTACTAGGGCTAAAGATATAGTGGCTTTATACACAACATTTTTAGATAAGCATTGATAATTTGAAGGTTTTTTAATACAGTTGCAGATGGTGACACTAGCAGTGGGTTTGTTGCGCATTATTTTTTGGTTGTGTAAATTAATAATTGATCCAACACTCGGCATGCAGCTGTAACTAATTTTGATTGTTTTTCTGTTAAATATCTAGTGGAACTTATGATGAAGAGGAAAATGCAAGTCAATTAACTTAAGAAAAAGGTGTCCTATTTTGGTGACAACGTTTTTATTAAACGGAGGATTAAACCATATGATGCTTCTCTTTCGCTTATTAGTATTATTTGGGCCTACATATGGATGGTATTGTATGTTGTTTCTAAATTTAAACTTTTCTAATGCATCTTTATAAATAGGGGCAGTATTTTAAAAAATTGTTTTGCTGGAAGAATTGGTTGATAACCTTGTCTCAATTGAAGTTGGTAACTGTTTTAAAATATTAGGTGGATGGTTAGAACTAGTGTGGATGTACTTTATCGTACTATCAGGTTTGTGGTGTGGTTGGAAACTAATGTTGTTAAGGTTCGATGTTACATCTAGGTAATTAACAATTTTCATATTAGAATGGATAGAAATACAATGGCTGTTTTGCTTAAATATTTGCGTAAAATGTTTCTAAATTTTCTCCATTTTAGGACCGCTTGCATTTTTGAACACAGCTAAGCCATCATCTCTATACAACCCCAAATCATGCTTTCTATAAAATTGGGAAATTGGGAAAAGAAGGGAAATTCCAACTAGTTCACAAACCTCTGCACCATCAATATATATATATATATGTGTGTATATATATATATGTGTGTATATATATATATGTGTGTATATATATATATGTGTGTATATATATATATATATATATATATATATATATATATATATATATATATATATATATATATATATATATATATATGTGTGTGTGTAAAATACAATGAGAGGCTTAAATGGTATAAGAAATCTGATTGTGAAGAGATGTGTATCATTCAAAAACATACAGCAGAAAAATTTTTATATACTAAAAAAAAAGATAAATGGTTACAAAGAAATATATATGACCAGCAGTACTTAAAAGAAAAACAATAAATAAATGATTAGTATTAGGATATGAACCATGGACATTCAGTTAACAAGCAGTTAAAAATTGCTGCTGGTCTATCAGTAAAAGTTGACTGGGATTTATAATCTAACAATTAAACAAAATTAATAAATGAATAAATATTTTAAACATGTTTTAGATAATGAAGATATTTTCATAAATCATTTTACTAATTATGTAAAATATGCAATATATATATATATATATATATATATATATATATATATATATATATATATATATATATATATATATATATTATATATATATATATATATATGTACATACATATATATATATATATATATATACATATATATATATATATACATTATATATATATATATATATATATATATATATATATATATATATATATATATATATATATATATATATATATATATATATATATATATACATATTTATAAATATATATACATACATGTATATATATATATATATATATATATATATATATATATATACATATATGTATATATATATATATATATATATTACATATATGTATATATATATATATATACATATTTATATATATATACATACATATATATATATATATATATACATATATATATATATATATATATATATATATACATATACATATATATATATATATATATATATATATATATATATATATATATATATATATATATATATATATATATATATATATATATATATATGTACGTATATATATGTATATATATATATAAATATGTAAATATGTATAAATATGTATATATATATATATAAATATGTAAATATATATATACATATATGTATATATACATTTAAATATATATATATATATATATATATATATATATATATATACATGTATGTATATATATTTATAAATATGTATATATATACATATATATATATATATATATATATATATATATATATATATATATATATATATATATATATATATATATATATATATATATATATATATATATATATATATATATGTATAATATATATATATATACACATATATATAAATATATATATATATATTATAAATAATTTAATATATATTTATTTATAGTAGCTTATACTTGTTCCGACAATGATAAAGTACTAAAATGCAGTAAGTTAGTTATGGATCATGTTCAAACTAAAACATTACAACTTGGAAATTTGTTTCCTGGCCAAACCATTCAGACAACTAATGGTGATGTTATATATCATTGGCCACTGAAGAATGAAGATGAACAATTTGAAGAAGGAGAAATTGTGGGGTTCAATGCTGATTTGAATGGAAAGTATTATTTAAGGAAGTTGACTTTAAAAAACTGTTCCAAGGCACTTCTTAAGGGTGTGATTTGTCGATCATATAACTTGCAGTCTCAAGTTCTAACAGATGGAAGTGAGTTCTATTATTTAAGTTTATGTGATTTATATATATATTTTTTTATTAATATTATGTGTTGTTATATATAATTATGTATTGCTTTTTTAATTTTTAAATACATTATGTTTGAGTATTTAATTTTTATATTTTATTATTTCAAATTTTTGCTGGTACAACCTTTTGTTATTTTATATATATATATATATATATATATATATATATATATATATATATATATATATATATATTCATATATATATATATATATATATATATATATATATATATATATATATATATATATATATATATATATATATATATATATATATCCCAAAAACACACTTTTTTTAAAATTTCAATGTGCTCTCAACTGATCCCCATTCTATAGGTCCTAAATAGCTACCAAAATCTTTTTTTTAACTTTTTAATGACTAGAAGTGATAAATGTAAATTCTGAGTTTTACGGTTTTGTACACATATGTGTATTTACTAAAAAACAGCGCTATCTAGTATTTCAATATGTTTTAATATGATGTAATAATTAGTACACAAATAATTCCCATAGGATATTATTAAAGAATAGGATCATTCCCTATGAACATTGTTAGCGATTGTTATTTTTCCCTCTGGACAATATTATTAGTTGGTATAGTTCCCCATGGATTGGTTCACAAATAACTCCATTTAGAAATTTTTTTTGAAGGAAAAATTTTCTAAATGGAATTATTTGTGCACGACGGAATTCTAATTTGTGCACGAAGAAATTCTTGTGTAAACAGTTATAAAAGCCGTAACGGTAAACTTAGATAAATAATTATACGAGAGGGAATAACGACTACATAGATTTTTGATGCAAGTGTAACATTTAGAAAAAATTTAGTTAAAAAACTGATTATTTCGAAATTCATATAAAGATGGGTAGAACAGCTAAAAAAAAGAAGATGATAGGACAGAATAAGAAAAAACGGAAAAATACAAAAAAATTGAGGTATATTTACCTATTGAAGTACCCACTGAGGGAGTTACCTCAGAGACAGCTTCCATCTAATGGTGATATTCTTAGATACTATCAATTTATCCTTCGCAAGTCACAAGTTAAATACAAACCCACTTCTACTAATGTTGGTTACAAATTGAAATCGAAATCCAAGGATCTTATTTGTGAAAATGGTGTTTGTACAGATTCTGATAATTCTTGCTTGGTATCTAGGATTAAAAAAATTTGGGATAATGCTGGGTTTGGCAAGAAATCTGTGATTTTTGGGTACTATATAAAGACCAAAATCATTAAACTTAATTTAAAATACAAGAAATTGATTAAATTGTCTTCTCTAAACTGGAACAGCAGTCTTGATAAGCAATCAAAGTTAGAAGACTTCAAGTTCAAGAAGACTTGTTTAACTTCCTCTTTTGTTTATGTAGGCTCATAAGAAAAAAAACCTATGAATACAATCTATAATTTTATTTAGTCAGACTTAAATAGTTTTTCAATACAATCACAGCTTGTTAAAAAGCATATAACATAGACCACATTTATCAAGAGCACAGAGTCTCAACTTATTTTGCCAACATGCATTAAACTTGTGTGATAAACGCACTAGCTCGAGCTTATGTGGTTTAGGATAGTTTGATTTATTTTTGAAGCCATCTTGCTTTACCAAGCTTATGTAGCTGTCAATATTGGTAGGCCATCTTGGCTTTTTAGTTAAGACTAAACTTGTGTGATAAACTTAAAGCAATATAAACTTAGTCCACTTAATAAACGCAGACTTAATAAACTAGACTTCACCCACTTTATAAATGTAGTCATACATTACAAGGACTAAACTCAAAATGATTGCCATTCTGGTTATTGTGTTTCTCATTTATATGTATTGACTCCTGTTATACTTCTTGATTGGTAGCAGACTGAGTTTTGTTGTTCTGACTCAATATGGTTGTTGGTGTCTACTGATTGTTAATAGTGATCCATTTCTTACTATAATAAAATAATGTTCATTTCATATGGTCATAAAATATCCATTGGCTCATATTGGGGTTAGCTGAGCCATAAGTATAATTATATTTTGAAAAAAAGCTCTAGACTAAGACTATCTTTGCCAAACTTAGGTAAGCCTATGCCTAGCCTAGCATACGCCTAGGGCCTATGGGTTATGTTAAGCCCAAGCTTTGAACTAACAACTAAGTAACCAGTCCAATATGCATATAAAATTTATGAATGTACTGTATGTATACGATAGGCTAGGTATAAACTGCAACAAAAGCTAAAGTTGATTTCCTTCATATGTATATTGTGAGGAATTTTGAGGTTAGAACTTATGTAACAATTAGATTATCATCAACTTACCATGATTGAAAATTCATTTTTTACTAGGAGACTTTCATTGTCACTTACACTGTGCACTATTGGATCATAATCTGTCATTTATTATTGGTTTTATTGTGAAATATTTGGTGGAAACCTGTTTGTTTGTATCAAGTAGGAAATGGGAAAAGTTTTGTTCTAAAATTATCATTATTTATTGGAGAGAGAACAAACAAATAATTCAGGTTAACAACGATAACATGAAATTTTAACAAAATGTCACTAGAAAATAGTAAATTAGGTTGATATCAAAAAGTTATTTTAAAGAAAATATGGAGTTAGAACAGTCTGATTCTTAGGAATATATATTATATATATATATATATATATATATATATATATATATATATATATATATATATATATATATATATATATATTTATATATATATATTTATATATATATATATATATATATATATATATATATATATATATATATATATATATATATATAAATATATATATATATATATATATATATATATATATATATAAATATATATATATATATAAATATATATATATATATATATATATATATATATATATATATATATATATATAAGTATATATATATATATATATAAATATATATATATATATATATATATATATATATATATATATATATATATATATATATATATATATATATATATAAATATATATATATATATATATATATATATAAATATACATATATATATATATAAGTATATATATATATAAATATAAATATATATATATATATATAAATATATATATATATATATATATATATATATATATATATATATATATATATATATATATATATATATACACACCCATCTTATTATACATATTAATATATAAATACCATTGTATAATCATATCATTTTTTTTGTTTGTCAAAATTGTCAGACTATTTGAAGTTAATTCAAGTTATATTAATTTAAGCTTGTTTACTTGATAATTTAACATGTTTTCTTAGGACAAAGGGAAACTATATGTATGATGGGTATTGTGCCAGTCAAAGTAAAAGGTTCTGTTTGCATTAACGAAGCGCTATATACTTCTCCAGCTTTTCCTGGATTTGCTGTAAGTAGTTACCATCTTGATATCAGTTTGCTTCAAAGTAGTGCTCATATTGGATATGCATTTTCGTCACAAAATGGTGCAGATGAAAAAGTAGTATGTTTTTGAAGTTTTGTTGTTTGTTTTTTAATTTCAATTGTAAGTTATTTTTTTATAGATTTCATACTGAATTAACTGAATGAAGAGGGAGGGGCTTCATTTATACATTGATTACGAGCTAGAGTTTGGCAGGTGTTATATAGAAAAATCAAAACGTTTTGATTGTTTGATTTATATGAAAAAAAAAAACGCCATAATAAATCTTATATATATATGTAGATACCCAGCAAATATGCTATAGCAGAATTTAAGTGGTCCTATATAGGCGTTTTGAGTAGTCCATTTGCAGCAGCTGCCATTAATAGACCACTAAATAACCAATAAACAAAAAAAAAAAAAACTCCAATGAAGTCCTACTCAAAATGCAATATAGGTCCTCTGCAATATATACATATAAGTTCACTGCAAATCCAAATTTAAACCTATATAGGTCCACTGCATATCCACTAAAAATTTATTTGTTAAGTAGTAATTAGCAGTTTCTGCCCAAACAGAATCCCTCAGTTGATCTACATACTGAAGCCATTGCAAATATCTGTTTCAGTATGATGTCATCTGTAATGTTTCATATATAAAGAAATATGCATTTGTATATATATTTAAACAACAATTAAGTATATAAAACATAAAATAAATTATTTAAGTCATCAGGTCTTGTTTTAAAGCATTATGAAGCGTGCAACTTATGTACACATTAGGCAATTTTAGCTACACTTAAAGCAATTTAGGATTAATTGCTTTTTTATTATTTTTTAACAATTCAACTAGTTTAAAGTATGGCAATACTTATTGTAGGCCTTCCAGTCATAAATCTGTATTTTTGACTGGGTCAGGCTATGTTACGGAAAGGTGCATTTTCGCTTAGTTTAATTTGTATTTGTCACGACAATTGTTTAAAAATTGTTGTAGAAAAAAGAATGTCAAGATTCAAAAAACTTTAATTTCAAAAAGTAATTTTCCAAATAAATCAGATACTTGATACAGATACTGTTGTCTTTGAAAGACATTTTGCAGAAAAATTAAAAAAAAATATCAATAACAAAAAACAACAACCAATCTTTCAATTTTGCCTAATGTTCCATCTAGTGTGACACAAACTCAATTTTTTAAATCAAGGTCCAGTGCTAGGAACTATTTAAAACACTATTTTATACTAAGTATTAATATACTAATATCTTTGTATTTGTATTCTTTCTTTTTTTTTATTTATTTATTTGCCTTAAATAAAATTACTTTGTATTTATTTGCCTTCAATTAAAATTACAGAATAGTTTTTTAACAAATATAATTTGCAGGACTTCCAGAAATTTAAACATCTTATCATGAAGCCCTTTAAAATACCAAATATATTAATAATTAAAAAAATTCAAGTTAACCAATAAAAATAAATCAACATAAACTCTAACTGCTTTTAAAATATGAATATACGGGATAAAGTATGAAAAATAAATATACTGGATAGAACATAAAATAAAAGTATACTGAATAAAATATATAAAACAAAAGAACTAGAAACAAAAAAAAATATTTTTTGTTGAAAAGGTAACTTCTTTTAATTTTCGTTAGAAAGAATTTAAAGTCATTTTCAAAGACGAATCAATATTAGGTAAAACTATTTATTCCATAAAAAGGACCGCAATATTTTTTTCCATTACAAAAATTGTATTTGTTTATGGGTTTTACATTATAAAGGTTTACATTATAAATGGTTTTTAAATTTAAACATAAAATATAAAATATTATAAACATTTAGTTTACATACATTTAAGGCTTTTATTTCTCTCAAAAGTGGTTTTGAATTTAAAAAAGGATAAACAAAATAAAGCAAGCTGCAGCTTTTTGGAACTGATAAAGAGATTTAAGTTTAGTTTTGTGAGCGCTTTTCTATACAACTAGCTGCGATTGAACCTGTAAAAATACGGGTCTTTGTAAGTCTATTTCAAATCAAACTTTTTAATACTTTTTCCTTATATATCCTAGATTTTCGAATCCGTAAAATACGGGTCTTTACCGAACCTACTATTTCTATACATACCTATTCCACACCGAATATTTCTATGCCTATTCTTTATTTACTTCAATACCTTTAAGTAAAATAATTTTGTTCTGAAAACAACTTTAAGAGCAAAAAAATAGATAGACTATAAAACACTATAGGATTGCCCACAAATTACGCAAGCTAAATTTATTTTTCAAAAAGTAGAAGATATCTTCAGTTTTTTAGGATGGTGATTTTCATTAAACTTAATGAGCCTTATAGATTATTTATTTAACATACAAAAAATTTAGATCATTTTTGTTTTCTTTAATTGTGAAATTTAGCGTTGAGTAATTTATGGATGATCCGTTATTTTAAAAGTTTAGATAAAGGATCAGCCAAAAAGTATATAAAGTCAAAAAATAATATAGTATAACACTCTTTTGATAGTTATCTAAATTATATCGTTATTGCACACTCAGTTTTGAATGTTTAACGGGGGCATGGATTAACAGCTGTATAACTCTAAATTTCTTTATTGTGTCAATATTAAATAACTTTAACTTTTAATTATTTTTAAAAGTAATTACTTTATTAAAATGGTTTCATTTAAATATAAAATTAGAATTTTTAATTATGTTTTTATAAAAAGCATTCTTTTTTAACCCCCCTACTGTTTTGAAAAAGTTAAGGTCGCCGCGTGGCAAGTTCAAATCATCAGCTTGATTTATTTTTAATTTTTGTTGTCATAACTTGTAAAATATGGGTCTTGAAAATGTATTCCTAACCTTTTCCGACCTTCCGACCTTTTCTATACTAAATTCTTACCTCAATATATTTGAATAATAGGTAGGAAAATAACTATTCAAAAATAGAAAAACTATACTCATTGTTTACATTTTAAAGCTATACAAAAAAAATTCTATTGTAAATAATTTTAAAAAACATGAGATGATTTAATATGCGGAACAACTGACTTACCATGAGCCGTTTAATACTGGTCAGAGTAAGTCTATTTCACATAGATTGAAATAACTTCTCTTTATTTTAATATTTTTTATATATATATATATATATATATATATATATATATATATATATATATATATCCATATATATATATATACATACATATATATATATAATATATATATATATATATATATATATATATATATATATATATATATATATATTTATAGCAAAAAAATTAATTATAGCAGAAAAAACTATTAATTGATAAAAAAATATAAACTTTTTTCTATCTTTGAGCTTTTTTTTTTTTTCTTGAGCACATTAATAATATAAGTATCTCAAATACTTATGTTATTAATGTGCTCAATTACATAAGTATTTGAGATACTTATGTTATTAATGTGCACATTAATAACATAAGTATCTCAAATACTTATGTTATTAATGTGTTCAAGAAAGAAAAAAAAAAAGCTCATAAATAGAAAAAGTTTATATATTTTTTATTAATTTAATTAATTATGACACTTTTCAATTAAAATATGACACATACGCAACAATTTTCCTCCCATGTTTTGTTTTTAAAATCTTTTTCTTTGTTAAAGTGTATATTATCGTTACATATGTTAATTTATAATCTTTATTAAACTTCAAAAGTATTTTGTATTTTAACCTAATCAGAAAAAATTAAGAAAAGTTGCCATTACTAGAGATTAAATCACGGCTTTTTTATTCAGAAACACTGTGTGCTAACCACTAAGCCACGCTGGCAAATGGACTTTTTAAACGATATAATATTTTTTAAAATAGAATTAAATGCTATTGGTCAAAATAAAGGTAACCTCTACCTCGTTTGCAATAGCTATCAAGAGTTTTGTTTCAAACACACAAAAATGGCCACTAATAACACTATTAAGTTCAGGAATAATATGTATATATATATATATATATATATATATATATATATATATATATATATATATATATATATATATATATATATATATATATATATATATACATATATATATACATACATGCATGCATATATATATGTACATGCATGCATATATATGTACATACATGCATACATATATTTATGTATATATACATACACTGTGTCATATTTATATACATGTATCACGGCTGAATTGGATAGATTGGTGCTGGATCTTTTGGAGAGAATGGATTTTTAACACATTATAGCACTATGGGTACCTAAATAAATGTGCAAAAATAAAGTTTTGTTCACTAATTATCTTGTTTAATCTTGAGAGTCTATTTATAAAAAAAGGCAGAAAGTGATAAAGTTTATGTTTCTCCTCCAATGTGAGATTTAGTTGTTGATAGATATGCTGCATTTTGCCTTTGGATTGAGAAATGGCATAATCATGTTTTGTTGTCAGATTTAGAGAAAAAGCCACTTGCATGTTACGTTGCTATGTTAAGGTATAGGTTGCTATGTTAAGTTTTCTTTTTTTTCGTTTTCTTTTTCACGTTTTCTTCAGAAACTTGAAACTATTATGACTCATTAAGTCCAAAGATAAAAAAAAAAAATAAATAAAAAAATAGACCCTTCTGTTATATTGGAGAAAATGGAAGTTTTTGCCAAGGGTATTAATAACTAAACTTTGGAAAGACATAATTATTTTAAACGTTTTCAAGAAGATGGTGAATGTTTTGATAACTTCTTGACAGAAATAAAACTTTTAATGCATGGGGGTGTACGCAAATGTAGAAATATTTGTATGGGTTACTAAATTTTATTTTAGAAACAAATCACAAATCTTTTATTCCCATATCATATTATCATTCGCTTACCTTGTTGCCAAGAATTCAACAATTACATTGTTAAGATTTTTATTTAATGCAGAGCATGTTGCTGGCAACTCAGTTATAAATGCTGATGCAATGTCTCGTGCCCCTGTATTGCAAACTACAGAGGACGACAAAATTCCAGAAAATGATCTGAACGTAAATAATACTTAAGGATAATTTACGTAAGTATTATGTAAATTCAATAATTAAAAGTAAGCTACAGAGAGTCGATGTGAAAAAATTAGGCAGAAAACTGAGCAGGATGAATTTTACAACAACTGCAAGATAGCATAGTTTCTGGATGGCCAAGTACTAAAAAATTTGTCTAATAAATCTTCATCCTTATCGGAATTTTAAAGATGAAATAATTAAAATTGATGGATTCTTGATGTAAAAAAAACGAATTACAATCCCAGTTAGTATGCGAAAAGAAATTCTTTTGAAATTGCATGAAGGTCATTTAGAAATGGAAAAGTGCAAATGTTGTGCAAATCAGGCAGTTTTCTGGCCAGATTTAAACAGCCAAATTGAACATCTAATTAAAAAGTAAAAGCATGCATGAGGTAAATTCCATCAAAACCAAAACAACCCCTGTTAACTTATAGTGTTCCAACGCGACCATGGCAAAAGGTTGCAACAAATTTGTTTCAATGGACTAATAAAAGTTGTCTAATTATTTTAAATTATTATAATTTTCTCAACAGTGGCAATTTAAGCACATAACAAGTCGTCCTCACTACCCAAGGTCAAATGGCTTAGCTGAAGCTACTGTTAACTCAGTTATTATAAAAAAGTGCCATATGTTGAATGAAGAAATTTTTAAAGGTATTCTAATATTGTACAATACTTCAATAAATAAGGTAATATACCTACATCAAAATTAAAATAAGAAACCATATAAAAGATCCATAGGCATTGTTTAAGAAAGAATTCAATCAAAAAACTACTATGATACAAAAATTTGTACTTTAGTACCATACTTTTTCAAGCAGGGTCAAAATGTGGTGATTCATGACGAAATATCTTGCTAACGTAGTCTTGGAGGTAAAATAATAGTTTGTAGCCCCTTGATCATATGAAGTCTAATTAAATTATATATATAAAATGTTCATTATCAAAATCATATGATGGTGGAGATGATGGTGCACAAAAGAATAATAGCAGAAATAAAAAAAATCCCAGATGAGATTAACAAAAAACAAATAATACAAAAATCATGTCATGGACAAAAAATAAAATGTGAAAAGCCACTCGATTAGGAGGATTTATAAACTAGCTTGACTTCTTATTAACAATTATATTTTGTTTGTTTTATGTTGCATGTGTGTCATATTTATATACATTTATCATGGCTTGATCAGATATATTGGTGCTGGGCTTTTAGAGAAAATAGATTATTAACACAACACACACATACATAGTTATGTAATGCATGACTTTGATATACATTTAACTAAGTTTGATATATAATTAACCATACATTGAATGGTTAATTATATATCAAACTATTATATATGGTACAATATGTACTACATATGTTATATGTATGACACAAGTAATCTCTTTATCTAGGAAGGTATGGTTAAAGCTGGGGTGTCAGTCTTAGAATCAGCAACTCGATGTTTAATGGATGTACAACTTCGTACTTTGAAATCTCAAATTGATGACGTATCTTTAAAACAAAAGCGAAAAGAAAGATGTATATATCAGAAGAAAAAAAGATGTATGTATATAAAAAAGATGTACATTGTTTTATACAATAGTAATAATATTATTACTAGCTGTCATGACCCATATGATACGGGTCGTGGTAAGTCTAATTCACACCTGACTTTTTCTAAACTTGTTTCTAATTCAATCTTTACACTTTAATAAACTTTAGTAAACAGAAAAAAAAAATCAATTTAAACTTCTAGTAGTTGATAAAATAGGAGCTTTATTGCAATCCATAAATCTATTGCTTGTTAAATTATAATTAATTTAAAAGAAAACAGTCTAAATTAAATAAATATCGAATACCATTATATTTAATTTGAAAAAATTGATAAGCAAATGTTTTAAATATCATTACAGTTGTGGTTATAAAAATGTCTTGGTTCGCTAAAAAGTACGCAGCTTGTATTTTTCTGAGTACATAAAGTTCGTGCCTTCTGCTTAATCTTTACTTTGAAACTATTAAGTATTTTTTTACTTTAATATTTTCTACATAATAAAAGTAACTTTAGCATAATAAGACAGCTGCGTAACATTTTTTCAGGTGTTTTTGGAAACTTAGGTTATGATGATAGTATTTTAAATCTCTCATAAGGATATATTTAAAAAGCAAATTTGGACATTGAAAAATGGGCTCAAGAGACCTAGGTATTTCAAGTAAGTTAGCTTTATTTATTTGATGTTTTTTATAAAAACTTTTCTGTAAAAAAACTCTTAACAAATTCATACAATTAAGCTGTTTTTACTGCGGAATAAGGCAAATAAATTTTGTACAATCAATACTTAATGCAAATGGTGATTAAAGTTTAAATAATTCCCATTCACATACATTCATATTCTTTCATTACATCTTTTAGTAAATGATATGAAGATTATCAAGCTTTGTTTTAGCTTTTTGAATACAATCCTCATTCAGAACATTTCTTAAATTCTGCTATGTCGGAACTTTCAAAATCAGTCATAAATGAAAATGGAATAAAATTATTATTGAATACACTTAATATACATTGATTTGTTATGTACACTATTTATTAAAAAACTTAAAAATGTGACTAAACAGATAACAAATAAGAAACTTACTTTGTGAGGTTGTTTAATTTTTGTAAAAGCTCCAAGATTTATTGTTGCAAGTTTGAATTAGCAACTTTTTTAAAAAAGCAAGGCTAAAAATAAATGATCATATTAAGATATACCTTTGTTTTTGTTTCAAAACTGAATCTTAAGCTTTAAGTGAATTATTATATGTAGTCAGTTTCAGTAATGATGCTACCATATAATCATTTTAAATTAAAGACATAAATGTGAAAAAAAAACACAAATTAACACAACAACAGCATCGCAAAATTAACAAATAACATAACATATTACAGTAAACTTTAAATTACTCAAACCTTAAAGGGGACCAAGAAATTAGCTTGTTAGAGAATGCTAGAGTTATTAACAGTACAATCAATAAAGAAAGGCTCAAATTAAATTTTAAAATTAGTTTAATTCAAGGGTTATTGAGTTATTCAGAGTTTATTGTTCATATTTTAACTACTAACAGCACACACATAAAAACACTAACAAAATATAAACCTATATAGTCTTATATAACACTTAATAAAAACACACATTACCACATTATAAGACACATAAAAATACTTGTCAAAAACTATATATTAAGAAAATTTACAAATATAACATTTGTGTTATTTTTATTCAATGATATACCTTGTTTATGCATGTGTATATGCAAATGACTTGTTATGCATGTGTACTGCAAATGAATTGGTTTTAGAACATGCTAGATAGAATTGGTTGTATGAAAACCTTTCATACAACTTTCATTTCAAAATCTCTTTCATTTCAACAACAATTTACTTCAGCTAGCCTAAGCTCATCTCTTTCATTTTGGTGACATTTTGCATAATCTGGTTTCTTTAATTTTAATGAAGCCTTGTTTAACTTGTTTAACTAAGCATCAAAGGAGGAAAATGTTAAAATGATGCTTAATATAATAAAAAGTTGCACTTTTATTTTAAAATTAAACTTCTAGTTTTTTTTTTAACTTATCTTGAATAAAGTGTAAGCGAATAAAACAGAGTATAATATAATAATTTAATTATATTCTACATCTACTATTAGTGGTATTTAAATATATTCTAAAATAATATAGGAATAGGTAAAGATAACATACTTCTATTAAGAATTTAAACTAAAGTTATAAATAAATTAATATAAGTAATGAGTAATGTTATATATTTAATGTAGTTAATAATAATTATTGACGAAATATTATTAGTATTTGATCAAAAAAACAATAAAAAGTAATTAATAAAAGTTACAAGATTTATACAGATAAAAACTCATAAATAAAGTATATTGAAAATATTATAAGGGCTGTCTGCTCAGCATATACTGCTCAGCATTGAATTGTGAAATGTAATCCTTTGTTGAAAAATCCCTTTTATTACTTTGAAAGGCATTTAATGCAAAATTTGCAATTAATAAGTAATTACAAAACTATTATTAGGAAACCTATATAAACAATCTTATATTTACTTTAAGTGAAGAAACTTGAAAATACTGACACTTTTTAAACTGTTTTAATTTTTTTATATATATTTTATATTCTAAAAAAAAATTGTTAATATATATAAGATTAAAATATTAATATGGAGATAACATTCTCTATAGGAAAAATCCTAAAAATTTAATGAAGTTTACTAAAACTTATGCAACACTTTGTACACATATCTTAATAAAAAATTATATTTATCTTCAAAAAGAAAGCCAGTTTTTTAACAAAATTTATCATAAAAAGCATTAAATGTTAACAAAAAAGAAGAGAGTATATATCTTTCAAACAAATTTACTCAAAAAGTAACAGTATAAAAAGTATCTAATAAAGTATAAATCTATTCAATAAAATTTACTTAAAAATTAAAATATTAAAAAAATTATGGATATTAAAGATATTAAAAAACTGTATCTTTTCAATATTTATTATAAACATATTCTTTAAACTATATTTTTTCAACACTTTTATGACTACCCTAACTACAAACAGATTTAATTAATGTGTTACATCATGACAGACCACACTTAACTGGCATGGAAAACAATCTTGCTCCAAACAAAGCCAAGTCATATTGTAGCAAATTATACCACTTGGCTAGCAAGGTCAACACTCTAGCTGTAAACAAAGCCAAGTCACAACAATTTGAAACCATGAAAACAACATAATAACCACTTACAAACTATAAACAAATGGCATTATATTACAAATATAGAAACATTAATATATAAAAGATATTTACACTTACAAAATATAAACTCATATAACCTTAATGCAAATAAACACATAATAAATAACACACAAATAAATATAAATATATAAATTAAGAAAAATATATAAAATAGAAACTTAACAAATACAACTTTACTTTTGTAATCTTTGTTTAATGACATACCTCGTAATAAATGTTTAACAACTTGCAAAAACAAACGATCAAACAATCTGGTTTTTTATGTAAAAGTAATCGGATTTTCTTTTAACTTTTTTAAAATAAGGTATTAAACGATCTTGTTCTTTAACATGTAACATAGAGTTGATCGTGTGAGAAAAAAGGATTTTGGAGATTTTGAAGAACACTAACTTTATCAAGAATTTGACCTCTTAACCTTTGAAAAGAGCAACGTCTTCTAGAGTCATCATCGTCTTCTAATTTAAAAGTTACAGAATAATATACTTTTAATACAATTGACAAAGTACTTAAATTGTGTTATTGTGATAATAAATGAATTGAATAAATTACCTGGCTTAAAAGTTATTTTACTAATTCAAAAATAACATAACGTTCATATTTTACTACCGAAGTTATCAAATAAAAAATGTCGATCTTATTTCTAATTAGGCTGATGAAGCAAAGTTTTCGATCTCATTACTGATTAAGCAGATATTAACAGATTATTATGATTTGAGAGCACTTCATTGCGTGAATTCAAAAGTATGCAGAGAAAGAGCATGCTAAATCCTATTTATAATAAAATTGAAATGCCAAGTATAATAAAAATCTTCGTGTAAACGCGCACGAATGAGCAGTATTAGTTTAGCAATAATATTAAGCGATTATTTAACAAAAGTTAGCTACAACAATATTATGCATAATGGTATATAATGTAGAAGGTGTGACTCAGCAAATAGTCCCCTCTCCTTAATATCAGAAAAATGAACTTTGTTTTTGTTTCTTTACATTACAAAAGTTACTCTAAAAGATGTTATAAAGGCATTTTGTGTTCTTTTTTTTTCTATTTTCAAAAATTTGATCATATAACATGATCAAATTTTTATAAATTGATGATATATAATTGATTGATTTTAAATGCATGTTGTTAATAAGAATATAGCATTACTCATACACTATAAAAAGAATGCACTAATTTAAAATTTCAAAGTTTTTTAATTATTTTTATCATATTTAGTTTGATTTTTTTTTACAACTTTTTACAACTTGACATTATTAAATCTAAAGAGTTGATTTATTTTTAGTGGTATTTAAAAGAAAAAAAAAGTTTGTTGATGTTCAAGATAAATGAAAATTATTTTTCAACCAAGTTATAAGAAAAGTTCTAACCAATATTTTTGAGCTTTCAAATATTTATATGTTTGCATTTTGGTTTTATAGATACCAGCATTTATTTTCTTGCTTGGATTGTTTTGGCTATTTTAAGCGGTGTTTTCCTTTACCATATCTTTGTATCTGGAGCAAGTTTTAAATACTTTCTTTGTAAACAAGGAAGATTAATTTGGTCTGCATTTTATCAGTTTATTCCAATTCATGATACTGGAGTTGTGAGTTTTTAAAAATTTTTTTATTCTACAACAAATTTATCTTATAAATTTTTATTTAATTTTTTTTTAATTTTATATTTATGTTTTTACCTTCCCAAGGTTGTAAAGACCTCTGCACACAAGAAGGTTACTTCATTGTGGTTATAACTCTCTCTCAACTCTATAACTCCAAAACACAAACTTTGACAAACAAGGCTGCTGTTGGGAGAAACAAGTTGAGCGCGGTACTACCCGGGACGTGGTGGGGATTGAATCCAGAACCTCTCACTTATGTAGCGAGCGCTCTACCACTACACTATTACCGCATTCTATGTCTCAGATTTTTAAATTTCATGAGAGTTGCATGTGTTTATTCAATATTGTTATGTTCAATTTTATATTGCAAATAATTTATTGCAAACAATATTTAGAATAATTTTTTAATGTTATTTTAACTAAGTTTTTTATTTTTCAATTTTTGCAATAATAATCTTTTAATAGTATTCTGATTTATTTTTATTAACAAATTTTTTTTCATAGCATCCTCACATTAGAGGTACTGAATTTGAACCAGTCTTTATGCAGAAGGCAGCTCATGCTGGGTATAAACAGTTAAACATGACAGGTTGATTTAGTTAATGCATTATCTTTATTATCATCTATATTATCTCTATATATTTTCCATATTATACAAAGAACAAATTTTTTAACTGACCTGTAGTATACTTATGATTTGTAGACAAGAGAAACTTTAACAACTTCACAAGATCATTACAACTGTAATAGTTAATATAATAAATTACTATAATAAATTTGTAAAACGAACATTTTGAGAAGAGTATTTTTATTTAGCCATTATTTATGAATTATTAGTAAAACAATGATGAACCTCATCATTGTTGTAATGACCATAATCATTATCACAATTACTATCATCACCAAAACTTAATCATCATAATTATGACATTCAGAATGTTTTCTAATATTAGCTTCAGTGGCGTCTAAGCCACTGAAGCTAATATTAGAAAATCTAAATAAAAAGTTAATAATCCACTATTTTACATAAGTTGTCTTTTACATAAGTTGTCTTTTACATAAGTTGTCAGCTCTTATTCATCTAAAATGAGCATTTATTAGAAATTTTCTACAATTTTTAGTTTTTTTACAACTTCTTAGTGTTTAGCTCCAATTGTACTTACTGCCTTCTTTTTTGCATCTGATGGATTTAGATTTAGAAAGGACGAATTCTTTCAAACTTTTACCAGAAAGACCATTTCAGAGATTATATTTACATTATTTTTCTGAATGAATATTTAGAAATATTTGCTTCAATTTTGTCTGCAGAAAATTTGAAATGTTGTTGCTTTCTAAATGTTAATTATCTTAATCTTCTGCTATTCCATATTTTGGCAATGTTATATATTCTTTAAACCAAACGTCAATTTACCTGTCGTAAATTGATCTTTGGTTCATTACGTTGTATGAATATTATCTCAATCTGTGGTTTTCACAACCCCAAAAAAATTGCTTTGGATTTTTTACTTTTAATTTTTTTTTAAATAGCCATTTTCTTTAAACTTATGTTAAGATGTATTCTTTAATGAATGTTAGTTGAAATTGCTAATTATTCATCTCAGCAATTCTACTTTTACTGGTGCATGTTGAGTCTACAGAGATGTCACATACAATTGTCAATATTTTTACTGTAAACATCCTCATTGAACTTTTTTAAGGTTATACTTATCACTGGGGAGATTTTCAAGAATCTCAACAACTGATCTGAAATTCACTGGCATTTTTAAATAAAATGGTATTTGTAAATTGTATTTTTTATTTTTATTGTAAAGGCACTCAAACCTGGTTTTTAATCTTTTTGCAAAAGATTTATTTGAAATTGATTTGAGCAGTGATGTTAAAAATTTTGAAAATATTTTTAAAATCATGTATTGTCTATTTTAAATATAAGTTTTATATTTAGATTATTAGATATATTATGCACTGTTACATAATATCATATTTGTTAGGTATTTATGTAAAAGTGCATAAAGTTTCAGTCTCTTTGCTGTGCCTATTAGTTGATATATCTATCGCATTCGGTAGTTCTTAAAACAGCATTTTATTAACATCGTCTCCTACTAAATGTGTCTTGTATAATAAAATTATACTAAATTTTGTAAAAAAGTCTATTTAAGTTATTTTAAGTGGTAATTCCCAAGACCCTAGATCATTTGATTGATCCTTAACATTATTTTTAAACAATTTTCACATCTGGTCTGTAAAATTTGGTTTAATCCCAATGGTATAATTAAAAAAAAATGTTTTGGAGGAATAATTAATCTCAAGTGCTTAATAGACTGTAGAGTGGAAATGAGAGAATGGGTGGGAATTTTTGTCCAGATCTAATAAATGGGGGTGGGGTGTAGAGTTAGTGGTTGAAAAACAATTAAGGTGGAAATTTTTGATTATATTAGCACTGACAACATTTATTAGATTAACTTAACAAAGAAACAAAGACGACATGTAGTAGATTAACTTAGCAAAGTATCAAAATCTTTGAATTTTAAGAGATTTCAGTTTGATCGGTTTTGCTAAAAAATTCGTTTAGTTAGCAAGTTTTAAATAAGAATTATTTTTCTTAAAACATAACATTCTTCTAAATGATGTTATCAAAAAGAAAGAAGTACATAAATAAATATATTTCCACTGCTCAACACCAAGATAATATTACATTTTTTATTTATCATTTTTGCTTAAAAGGTTTCTATAATGACTTTATATATGTTTGTTGAAGTTGACAAAGCACTAAAAAAGATTAAATCCATAAATAGGATGGTATTTTTTTCTTTTGTATCTTTTCCAGTGACTTTTGAATATTGAATGCATTTCTTCTGTTGTCTACTCGCTGAATAATCCAAGTTAAGTACCATGGTGTTTAATAAATTCTGGAACATGATAGAAAACAGCAGTGACATCCAAAAAAAGGTATAGATGCTTGAAAAAAAACAACTGCCTATTATTGTTGCAGCATTGGTACTAAAAGATGGATTGTACCAGATTATATTACGCTTGTGATTTTTAAATGGGATTGTTTTTTTAATTGAATGGTAAGCGCTATTGCAGATAAAACCTGATTTAAATAATACATCTTGATAAGGAGGAAGGGATTGTTAAAAAACATCAAATAACATCTGGCTACTGTCTTGTAGAAGGCCTCCTAGGCAAAGACATAAGGGATAAACAGATTCTCTCTGTTGACCAGCCTTGCACCCCTTCTTCATCTATTAGGCTGGCGCAGATGTATTTTTAATACATTGTTTCCAGTTTAGGATGTTGAGTGCTGGATCTTCTTGACCCGATGCATGGATTTTGCTTGTGTCTCTGTTTATCTCCTAATAGGTTACAGCTCTAAAACTCAGTTTTATGGTTCTGAGGCCAGCTGGTAGTCAGGTTTCCTGAATTCTGTGGTAGCTCTCAGAGAGGCTGATTCCATCAACAGCTGACAAGTAACAAAGTATTATCAGTGCCATGTTGTGCATGGATGGTGTCCCTGTTTGTACTTTTGGTGTGCATTGCCAAGGCTACATTGGAGCCCTTTGTTACGGCTTAGGGTTATTTATAGTAATGAGGCAATTGATTGGGCTATTAAATAGTGTAGTAAGTACTATCTATGCTTTGAGTCAAGTTCTTTAACAAATTTAAAAATGAATAAAGTAACAAAAACTATAAAGCACAAAAAAACATTGCCATCACCAAGTTATCTAAACCTCATTCGTGGTCTTCGTTCACTATAATATTCATGATCTTTACTAATATTTGTGGTCATCATTTACTAATATTCGTGGTCTTTGAAGTAACTTTTATTCTGTTGAGTCTTATCTCTTGCAAAGTTCACCAGACCTTCTTGCTCTTTGTGAAACTAATTTGAATTTAGCTGTCTCATCTTGTGATCTAAGTGTTGATGGGTATCTTATTTTAATTTGTAAAAACTCCAATAGTCACATGCTTGGCCTGGGCATTTACATTTGTAAGAATTCACCCATTTATCGGGAAACTAGGTTTGAATCCACAGACTACTGTTTTATGTGCTTTTGTTTAGCACCACTTTACTCTATTGCCTTTCTCTTTGTTCTATATCGGTCTCCTTCATCTTAAGACTACACTCTTTTTGATGTTATTTATAATCATATTGACCAAGCCCTCTCTTTTTATCCATCAGCCAATATTATTGTTGTCGGCGACTTTAATGCTCATCTCACTGAATGGCTTGGCTCTAATGTCAGTGACTCTGAAGGCATTAAAGCCCGCAACTTTTGCCTATTTCAATATCTAACTCAAATAGTCAACTTCCCAACTCGCTTTCCAGACAAATTGAATCATTTACCTTCTCTACTCAACTTATGTCTTGTTTCTGATCCAATTTAGTGCTCAGTTTCTCCACATTCACCCTTAGGTGCCTCTGCTCACAGTTTAAACTCTCTAAAACTATTATCTCATTCTTCTTTATCATCAGAATCCTCCTATCATCGTAGATCTTACAACTACCTTAAAGTTGACTGGGACTCTTTCCATGATTTTCTTCGTAATGACCCTTGTGTAGAAATCTTTCGCCTTCCTGTTAACAAATGTGCTTCTTACACAACTTCGTTGATTCAGACTGGCATAGTATCTTTTATTCCCTCTCGACAATTCCAGGTCAAACCTCGCTCTACTCCATGGTTTTCCTCACATTGTGCTGCTGCAATTGCCAATCGAAACCATTACTTCTATATCTGTCAGCAAACCAATTCTCCAGAAAACAGACGTCTGTTTATTACTGCTAAAAACAATTGTTAAAAGGTTTTTTCTAACGCCGAAGCCTGCTATTCTCAGGTCATGAAATCTCGTATTTCATCGCAAAAATTAGGCTCTCGTGACTTCAGCAGAATCTTTAATAGTATCAATAATAAGGGCAAATCTGTAATTCCACCTCTTGTATGATTCAGACTTCGAGTCAAAGCTGAATTATTTGGTAAGAACTTTTCATCAATATCATCTCTTGATTCCACTAGTTGCGTTCTACCTGATATAGCTGTCACACAGGTTGATCCATTACTTGACATTCGTATCACTCCAGCTTTTGTATCTAAAGTGATTTCCTGCTTATATTCTTCTACAGCTTGTGGCAGTATAAAACAGATGGAATTTCAACCGCATTGAAATTCTTCGGGACTATGCTTGAAACCCTTTGTTTCGTAAACAATAAGAAAACGACATCAAAACTGTACATAAATGCTTAATCTTTATACGTTTACGCAATTTGGTACGTTTATAATAATTAAAAAATATAATATTCAAGAAAAGCGTTAAAAATGGCGCAACGTAACGGAAAACAACAACTTTTTTATAAACTTCATATTAATTGAATGGAATCAGGGCCGCCAAGAGGGAGGGGCAATTGAAGTAGTTTGCCCCGGGCATCACAGTTTATGGGGCATCACATATGCTATTAAAAAAAAAAACAATTTTAATAATAAAAATTTTATCTGATAACATGTTTAAAGCTTAAACAAATTATGTGTATTAATTTCATCATCCTTTTAAACTTTGTTTTCATTTAAAAAAGTTATTATTTTACACGGTTTACATTTTCCATTTGAACGTACGCGTTTTTTATTGGTCTTTTGTTTGCATAATAAAGAAAAAATTATCTATATATTTAACAGCATGTAAAAATTCTTTTGAACATTAATCGAAATTGGAGATAAAACAAAGCGATGGATTTTATTATGAATTTATTTTATAATGCATTCTTATATGTAAAAATTTTTCTGGCTTTAGGAAATTTAGCTTTTAGGAGTGAGAATATTGTTTTTAAATTTTAATTTATATTTTGCATTATTTTATTTATATTTTAAAAATCAAAACTAAAAGTTATAATTGGATATAATTATGGATTACTATTTTAATAATTTTTTGTTTGCAATTATAATTCAATTAATAATTGTTCTAAAATTGGAATGGATACTTCTTGGAGCTTATTGCTAAACCAAGCTACGACAATGGCGCTAATATGGCAGGTATTTACAATGGAGTTCAAGTTTTGATTAGGCAGAATAATCTATAAGCAATTTTCATTTCTTGCTCTGCTTGCAGTTTGAACTTATGTACAGTACACGCTATTAAATGATCAACTCCTGCAAAATCCTATTTTGGAAATATTTAAAAGCTATACAATCTGTTTAGCTGCAGCCCAGTTCGTTGAAAAATTCTTCAGGAGGAGACAGACCTATCATTTCATAAACTTTCTGTTACACGATAGAGCTCAAGGATTGAAGCAGTCAAGCCACTAGCAAAAAAGCCAAGAAAGATCTTGAAATCACATCGTCCAAAAGAGTTGGACCTTCCAGGCGAAAGTAATAATGAAGTGTATTGTCTAATTTAATGAATGAATTTTTTTAACTTTTTTGTTTTCACTACTTCTTGGTATAAATGTTTGATGGTAATTAGCAACATCAGTCTTTAGCTTCAATTTACTAACTCTTGATGATGAAGTAAAGATTCTAAATGACCAATAGACAGATCTGGATTGAATCCGTTTGTCTTGGTACTATCTAATAATATGGGATTATACCTGATATAGGCACCAGATGATGTAAAGAACTTAAAATTTAATGAATTTATGTTTCCTGTGAAGAGAACGCTAAAAAAGAAGCTCTTCCCGGATAAAACTGTTAGTTACAACCACAATGAAGCATCAAAACACTTTGAGTGTAATGTTTTCAATGTTGCGCAATCTGACTAGTTAAATGAGATCAAGATTTTAAGTAATGAAAGAGTAATGGTAACAAGTTTTCCTTTCTTTGGTCTTCACAGAAATCTCAAACAGACAAAGAATCTTCGAAACATCTGATGAAGTTTTACTTCTTTTTTTTTTCCGCAAGAAGAAATATTCTAACCAGTAAAAAGCCTGTCGAACTTCTAAATGAAGTTTATGCAAAAAAAGTCGACTTCAATGTTTCCACAAGTGTGTGTTTCAATTAGAATCATTCAAACACTGCTCGTTTCAATATCTGAAGGTGAAAGACCTTTCAGTAAGTTAGCTATCATCAAAGATTATCTTTGGTTCATAATGTGCCAGGAGTGATATTACTACTTGATTATCCTTTCAATTGAATCAGATTTAGCCAATAACGTTTCTTATGAAGAACTTATTTTTGCCGCTCAGAAGGCCCGGAAGATGTGTTCGAATTAAGATTTAATTTTAGCATAGTTTGCTTTTAAAAACCAAAATTAAATAAATGTGATTTCAGGTCTTCTATGAAAGTAAACATAACATATAGGGCATCCATTAAACTTTTGGACCCGGGCATCACAAGAGCTCTGGGCATGCTTGAATGGAGTACTACAAGAATGAATAGAATTATGATATACATCTAATGAAACTTTAAACTTTAGTTATTTAGAAAACAATTTTTTTGATTTTTTAAAAATTGGTTTAGTTGTCTTTTTAATCAAATGTTGTGTTATGACTTAAAGCAAGAAAAGAAACTTAAAAAAACTTTAAAAATCAGGTTCTATTTAATTACCGAGTTTTAATAAACCTTTTGCTAAATAATTGCAATTACTAATGTTTAAAACTTAGCAGCATATCCCTAGAATAATTTATTTTTTGATGTTTTAATAAAAATCATCTCAGTGAATTTTATTGTTTTTTTGTCCAGTGAAATTTTTTTTTTTTTTCAATTGTCGGTTTCAAGCATACTCCCGAGACGACTTGAAATTGCTTTGATGTTTGCGCTTGATGAACTACCATCTGTTTTATTCTTCCATAATTGTACCGAAGTTGTTATTTGGTATTGCGTAACATTTTTACGGCCCGAAATACTTAAAAATGAATGCTCAAACTGATATTTTTTCTGTACTAAATTACCATAACTTTAATTTATACCAAAAATTAAATGACATAAAGTCATAGATCTTTGCTTTTTGCGAAATTTCACTCATTACGGAGTATGTTAACACTATTTTAAAAAATGCTGTCAAACTACATTTTATATTGAATTGATCTATCTTTAAAATAACACCTGCGTATAATAATATTTTTAAAAAAATTATATTTTGATTAAATGAAAAGTATGAAATAATTATATACTGTACGGAAACAAAAGTGCGTTTCCGAAATGTTTGGAAAATTTCGAATATTTTTTATTTAGGAGTCTGGTATTTCATGGTTATAGACCGTTGTGCGCACAGATCTAATATAAACTCGGAAAATGTTCCTGTGACAAATCCTGTTAATAACGGCCCTGAGGTGTTTGCTTTAGACAAAGAATGCTATCACGCGTTTTATTACAAAGACGACAACTGGCAGTGTTATGGTTCTGTTCCCTGGAAAACCAAGCACAATTTATTTTTTCAACTTACGTATATCTTGAAGAACTTTCAGGAAAATATATATAAAATATATATTTTCCTGGAAGAGTTATTTTTAACCTATAAACTTTTTTTTTAAGCGGGATTGTACTGTTTTGTTTAAGTTTATTATTAATGGCATAATAATTGTGTAAACTTGAATCGGTCATGTCTTAAAATAAATTTATTAGTATTTTTGTGTTTCTATTCACTGCTTTTGTGTAACCATTTGGCGAATTTTTTATGCCAAAGTTTTTAAATAATAATGGTGTAAACTTGAATAGTATTTAACCGATGTTTTTTTTCTTTTTTTTTTTTTTTTTTTTTTTTTTTTGCGTGGTATCATTTGATGAGTTTAAAATGTAGTTCAATAAAGAAAAATATACTATTAAAAAAAACATATCTCCCTTGCATTCATCTCAAGTTAAACGAGTCAAGAAAATGAGTTTCGTAGCCCTAAAATTGTTGCTTACATCAACGTTGCTGCGTTTGAAATCAACAGCCCTAACATACTATCCATTCTCAGTTCATACTTGGATATCATCCCAGCAAACTTTGTTTTAGTATATTTGCAGTAGACTTATATAGGCATTTTCTAGCGGTTTATTGGACTTTTGCTTATTGGTTACCTATCGGACTATAAGAAGCAATCGCTATAAGAAGCAAGCTAATAAGTTTCGTTCATGTTAATAGTGGCTAGTAATTGGCTAAGCACTTTTGGTGGCTGCCACTAATGGTCCACTAAGTAACCGATGAGCAAAACTACAGTGGTCCCCTAAAAATGTATATATATGTCCACTAAGCTTCCGCTATAGAATGTTTGCTGTTAATGGACCGGGTCAATCCAAAAAAAGGGCTACGATGATTTAGGAGGCCTCAAATTTCCTGAAAAAAAATTGATATGATTTTAAAGTTTCTAAGCAGTAGTAACAATATTTACATAAGTATTTTGCGATGTTATTTAATTGTTAATATTGATATTTTATTTCTTTCTAAATATTAATAAGATTAAAAAAAATTTTAAACACGTATTTAATTTCATCATCGAAACTTAATATTTCGTCACTCATTCATCATGCTAAAACTTTTACCTTTAACCATAACATTGAATTCTTCATTTTTATAGTTAGACCACGGGTACCCTGAAGGTTACCTAAAACTTTATATCATACCTCATGAAATTTTTTTGTTTAATTTTGAAAGCAGTCCATGTGCACATTCTAAAACTATCAAAAATTTAATTTTTTTTTTCAGTAGCTTTTTGAGAAAACTAATTTATTAGATTAGTTTTACCCAGAGGTTAATGCCCCTCTGACTCACCCTAAGACCTATTGGATTGACTCTTTGAGGATCGTATTTAGAAATAACTTCTAATAACAGTTTGGGCTTTCTAGTTAGAACATCGGCTAATTTATCACTTTTTAAAAGTTAGCTATCTTTTTTCATCAACAAAGGGTAATACCATCAAAACGAAAGGTTTTATGAACACTTGCCCTCCATCTATCCCAATCTTAACATCAACATTCTCTGGTTTAAGAGATCTATTTTGTAAAACTGTTGCATCAACATTATTGCTTATTCAACTCATCAACATTATTGCTTATTACACGAGGAATAGTTCTTTCAATACACTAAATATTTAACAAAACAACTTTAGGTCCGATGATAATGATTTATTTTAAACTATCAACTTTCAAATTAATCAAAATATAAAATTATAACACTAGTAGCAAACAATATTGGCGCAATTTTGTTTTTAGCATGTAAAGTGTGTACACAATATTGCGCCAATATTATTTCCTACTCAGGAATGTAGCATAAAATAATATTTTTGTTATAATGCATTACTTTTATAGAGCTTTTTAGTGATACTAGTTAAAGTAAAACACTAGATGTATATACATATATATATTTATTTAGTAATACCACTTTTTTATTATCACCGGTATCCTGTTTAAACTGAATCTAAGCATAAGCTCAGCATCAAACAAAGACAATAGATTTTTATTTTTTTTTAACTTTTTATAAAAATAAGATTTGACAGACTTTTTTCATCCTTTCACTCATATAAATCGGGGAATTTCTAACATCTTATAGTCACTAGTAAATTTGATGCAAATGTTAAAAAAATTATAGTATTTTTTTAATAATTTTTATTTTTTGAATTTTGTAGTAAACAATCTATACCCTTTGCTCTGTAGTTGTTTCAGTTTTGAGTGTGAAAAGTAAGTTGTTTTTGGTTAACTACTCCAATAGAAACAACGAGCTTCCTAGGGCTAAAATTGTTTAACGTTATTTTTGCGTTACGGGTTACTAAATTGTTAGTTGTACTTTTCTTTTTGTTATAGGTGAGGGGATTGTACAATGCGTCAAGTTCCTTTGCTTAGCTAACTTTGTGCAAGGGTGATAAATAACTTTTCTTATTTGTTGAAAACGACTTCTGCAAAGAACAAAATTTTGATTGATTGTGGAAAAATTTAGATTAGTGATTATGATCTATATCTGTACTAGTTTCACATGATACCATTGGTGGAAGAATTGCTATTTTAGTACAATTTTTACGCTCATTAACACAAATAAAACACTCACATTTCCGACCTAGAACAATTTTAGTATTAGGCCTAATACTAAATATTAGGCCTAATACTAAAATTGTTCTAGGTCGGAAATGTGAGTGTTTTATTTGTGTTAATGAGCGTAAAAATTGTACTAAAATAGCAATTCTATAATTGTACTAAAATAGCATTGTACTAAAATTGTACTAAAATAGCAATCCTATAGGATCTTAAAGTAATAAGAAGTTATTCTTTAGTGTAAATACAATATTGTTTATAAGCACAACAATAGTAATGCAAAACATTATTATTTGAGCGTTGAATAAAAATCATTTTTGAATCTTTTTTGTTTTAAACTCACTAGATTTTTTCTGAAATAAGAACATAATATAATAGGCAGATCATAGTTTTCAACAGAGTTTTCCCAAAAAAATCACTAAATAAGATTTTCATAATTTATTTCTTTTTTTGGACCTGGTTTATTGTATTTGGTTTGAATGCATCTTAAATCATTAACTTTTTTTATACAGCATATGCAAAATTTTATACAGCATATGCAAAAGCATTTTAAAAACTCGTATTGATCTTTAGCAAAGTATGACATATCTTTTCTATTCTTGAGAAATGGTTCCTATATTTTTCAATTGGCTCTTAAATTTAAGTTAATATAAATTTTTGATGGATGATGGTAAAACTTGAGTATGCTGTGATTCTTCTGCGAAAGATTAAAAAAAAATGAAATTAATAGTAACAAAACAAATTTGATTTTTCTATCAAATTTTATACAGTAACAGTACTTATACTTTTAAAAAACTTTATAACTCAAAACTTGATGTTTTGAGTTATAAAGTTTTTTAAACGATGATGTTTTATTAAAGTTAAGAATAGAAAAATATTGGTGTACTTCTTATCAGTCTTCTCAATATTTAGGTTAAACAGTAACTTTTTCAGAGCTCGAAGATTTACATGGAACATGTAGACTAGTTTGGTAAAATATCTGTAAAATATTTTTTTCCAAAAAAATTTAAATGTTTAACTATTTATAATTAACAAGACGGTGTAAAGATGCAGTAATGAGCTTAGAACAAACTTTTCCTCAGCTGAAAATTTATACTTTGCATACTCTAAGTACGTTACCATTAGCCTGGTGCAACTGTATATAAATTTTGTATTGAGCATGCTTTATAGAACATAGACATTACATTTGACAAAAAACACACTTAGAAATCTTGCAAAGTTGCACACATGCAAATTCAAGTTAAATATTTCAAGAGTTTATTCATACAAAACACATTTTAACAAAAATACTCATAGCATGATAACTGATTTTGTTCTTTTTTTTATTTGGTGTACATATTTGACTTCAATACATTTTCTGGCTTTTAATTTCCTTGTTTATATGTAACTGTACAAAAAATTACTGTTCAGTAGACAAACATATAAATTTCTCTTCTTTTGTTAAATTTTCAAATAATATTTTATACATAAGTTAATGTAGCCTGCCAAAATTTTTCTAAAACTTTAAAAAGTGTTTAATGGTTTAAGACGATGTTTTATTAGAGTTATGCAATAAAAAAACAAATCAGTCTCCTCCAAACAATAATTGAAACAAAACATGAAATCAAAATCTCCTCAAAGGTCATATATTGACATGAAACATGTAACCTAGTTTTGCTATCAGTACAAATTTTCTTCATTTAAAAAATGTAATGTTCAACTCTTCATAATTAACATATTAGTTAATTTAAAAATAAAGTATTCACCAGTAGTCTGGTAAAACTGCATACAATCCTTATATGCAAAAGTATTTCACAAGTAGTCTTGGACAACTGTATATAAACTTTGTATTTGAGTATGTTTTAACGCCAAGAAAATATTTTGTGAGAAATACATTTATAGATTTTTTCGAATTACACTTTTTTTCCATTTATCTAAATTAACAACAATTAAAACCTCCATCACCAAGATAAACTTATTTGAAACTTTGAGATTTTTACGAGTGAAAATTCTCTGATACAAAGAGATTTTGATACCTTTTAAATATTCTAAAAAGTAATAAAATAAAATAAATTTTCTATGTTGATGAAAGACTTGTATTAATAAAATTAGTTTATCATTACTATGAAATTTATTTCGAAAATCTGTTGTCTTATTAGCTTGAAAACTTTAACTTAACGCTGAAAAAGTTATTTGCAACGACAGATTTTTTTTGTAACTCCATTTATTTGTAATGACACATTTTTTTGTAACTCCACTAAAAATAGTGTCTTTAAACCGGTTTGATTATGTTGATAAGTTTAAACTTTTCAAATAAGATAGCTAAGAGTTAACTTTAGATTTTTTTAATTTTGAGTTAACTATTACTATATATAATATC